GAACTCAGCCGCCAGATCCCTCTCCTCCAGCAGCTCAACAGGGTGCAAAAAAGCCCTCTTCGCCAGGAACCCCACTTGACAACATAAGCTTGAAAAGCCATCAGGAATGGCATTTTAAAATGACATATAACCTGCTTGACTTCCTGCCTGACCCTTGCAGCATCTTTTATTGAAACCTGCCATCTTTCATTAAGAGCTTCTGAGAAGTGTAACTCTGACCAACAGGGCCTAGAATTATTTCAGGGAAAGAATGAATGTGCTTTAAAGGTAGAGTTCGTACGCAGTACTGTTTACTGTGCTTCAGTTATGAAAGCAACCCTAGGAGCAAAAGATGTGTGCAGCTATAACCTGAAAAGAAGGATGTGCACACTTCCAGTTGTGATTGCTGCTGTGTAAAGAGTGCATTGAGATCTCCTTCAGACATGTATATGCATATATTCTAACATGGCATGAGAACATCCTTAAAGCACAGTATAACATCCATGCCAGATTCCGTGGTAGTTCCAAATTCTTTATCTGTGTATGTAATCACAGAAAAGTACCTCCCTTGCTGATAGCAAAGTCTTAAGAGTATAAGTTTAAAACTAGAAGTCGTGGACATCCAGTGAAGCTGAAGGTTTGAAGATTCAGGTACAGATAAAATGAAGAACTTATTCACACAACACATAGTTAAACTATAGAACTTGCTCCCACAAGAGGCAGTTTCCCACAGGCATTTTGGTGGTCACTGTGAGACTGGACTGGGCTAGATGGGCTATTGGCTTGATCCTGTAGGCTTTTTTTATGCTCTTAAGTTGACCTGTGGTGGATGAATATTGCCTCATTGTTCACAGTTCGGGGCAGTTGTGGAAGGAAGACAAAACCAGCAGTTGTGTGTATGGCTCTGAGGGCAGGAATACATGTCTGGGACTGTATGTGGGATCCTCATTCCCTGGTGAGTGGTTATAGTGGTAGCGGGAGTATGTGATTTGAATGGGAGAAGACACACATAAGGACAGGTGGCTCAGCAAAGAATCTCGTGACACCTAAAAGAATTATGGTAGCATAAATGTTAGTGAGCTTTAGTCCACCTCATCGTATGCATGAAGTATTATCCTGAATTGCAGTTATGTATTTTTGCATGAATCCAGATTTCCAAGTGGTGAGAGACTCATGGGATTCCAGCACTAACCCAGACACTGGTTTCCTTGGAATGAGTCAATGGAGATGGTGATGTCTTTAGAATACAGTCATACCTCGGGTTGAATGTGCTTCGGGATGAGCGCGTTCGAGTTGCACTCCGCGGCAACCCGGAAGTAACGGAGCGCGTTACTTCTGGGTTTTGCCGCTTGCGCATGCGCAGACGCTCAAAATGGCATCATGCGCAGAAGCAGTGAAAAGCAACGCGCGCATACATGCCATCGCTGGTTACATTTGCTTCTAGATGCGAACGGGGCTCCAGAATGGATCCCGTTCACATCTAGAGGTACCACTGTATATGGTTTTATTTACCCATATATGCCACCTGCACATAGGATGGAAGGGCTCACAGCATTAACAGCCCAACAGATCTTGCTTCCCCATTCTGGTCCCAGGGAGATTCTCAAGCTCATAATTTGGATCCAGCACAAAGCAGATATGTCTCTCTGTGTCCAGCTTGTTAGAATCACTTTATGTAAAGTTCTTCCACTTTACATAGTGATGCTGCTTCCAACTATGTATGGGGGGTTAGCCTCATTTGTCTCTGTGACAATGTGGCAGCCTCTTCCTAATGTAAATGCCAGTACAGAACTGGCTGAAAGGTTTGGCTGGTTTCCACTCATACAGTGGTACCTTGGTTTTTTAACATCTTGGAAGTCGAACATTTCGGTTTCCAACACCGAAAACCCGAAAGTAAATGCTTCTGTTTTCAAATGTGCCTTGGAAGTCGAACAGCTTCTGCTGAGCTTTATTTCAATTTTCTCCATTGACTTTGCAGCCAGCCCTTTGCACCTCGGTTTTTGAACGGTCTTCGGAATGGATTACGTTCGAAAACTGAGGTACCACTGTAGAGTCTGCCATCACCTACACAGCATCACAGGTTTTGAAGGAACCAATGGATATCACCCATACTGACCCCCCCCCCCAAACTATAACAATATATATATACATGTGGGGGTGGAATTAGAAGGAAATGAAGTCAGAAGGAAGTGAAAAGCAAAAAAGCTACATATGGTGATCCCTACACAAGAAAACAATCATCAAAAGCATATATATTCTGACACATATATTCTGGCATTTGTAAGCCAATTTGAGAGCAACCATTTCATCGTCTTTCCCAATTAACATATGTAGCATGATAAAAAAAATCAATCCACAAATGATAGGTGTGGGTAAGGGCAGTGCTTCTTTAAAAAAAGAAAGAAAAGGTGCCAGAACTCACTATGAAGTTGTTACAGTAAGTGCCACTCTTTAAACATGGGGGGGGGGGAGGTGTTGGTACTGTGTACCCTTGAGTACCCCCGGAAAAAGCACTGTAAATGGTTTAATCCACATCCTTATTTGCAACCCTCCAATTCAGAAAGAAGTGAGAACCATCACTGGTTCACCTGTCACAGTAAATCCCCCCCAGTTCAAGCATTATTTTTGTAAGAATGGGATTATAAAGGCAGGTTTTACTGGAGTGTTTTTTGTGGTGCAGCACCTGAAACTTTATAAACTGGATGGGGTGCAATTTCACCATTCTACCTAAGCTTCCCTTCCTGATGTACTTACTTGGAAATAAGTACTCTTGAAACAAATCAAATGTGCTTGTGTTAACAGCTGCTGTTGTCTTTGCTTTCACCTCTATGTGGAACAATATCATCCAGATAAATATGAGTGTGATTTGGCTGGGTGGTGAATCTTTCCATCACCAGCAAGTTTTTGAGAGCAGTATTGGCAACCATTTGGTTGGTTTTTTTAATTTTGAGTTTATGTGATATTTGTATGCTGTTTTGCCAACAGCAACGTTGAGTGCAAAATAATAAAGCGTTAAAATGAGCAAATAACATTTTCATTAGTATAATCAGCAATACACAATAGCATATAAGTATAGTAAAAATAAACAATTCAGTAAGCAATTAATGGTTGTATTGACGCCAATACCAACTCACAAAATTCAAAAGAATTAATCAGAAGAGGTTGCTGAGCAGCAGCCCCCTCCCAGTTGATAGATAGATAGATAAACTTTATTCGCATTAGCCAACGGCCATAGCAACATAAAACAAGCAATATATACAAATAAAATATATACAAATAAAAAAAGACAGCAGTGGGTAAAAAGGGCAATCAAATGACCAAGATTATCGTTCAGATAGTGGCCCTTAATCTCATTGCACCCTCGCCCCTCCCAGTTGGCAGCATCCTCAAGAACATAAAAGAGCCTGCTAGATCCGGCTATTGGCCCATCTAGTCCTGCATGTTGTTCTCGCATTGGCCAACCAGATGCCTGTAGGAAACCAGCAAGCAGAACATGAGTACAAGAGAACTCTCCCCTCCTGTGGTTTCCAGCAACTGGTATTCAGAAGAATTACTGACTCCAACTGTGGAGGCAGTACATAGCCATTGTGACTGGTAGCCATTGAGAGCCCTCTCCTCCATGAATTTGTCTAATCCTCTTTTAAATCCATCCAAGTTTATGACCATCACTGACTCCTGTGTGCACAAGTTCCATAGTTTAACTATGCACCAGGGAGGAACTTCTTCACTCTCAGTCCCAGGCAGAAGGTTTTTCCATAAGTCTAACCACAGGCCAGGTGGAGCCCTAGATGGAGCAAGTACAATCCCTTGCAAACAGAAGCACTACATTAGGCTGTTCCATAGTTTAAGCCATAGTGGCAGCAGAGCTGCTCTCACAGCTCTGTCTGATTCATTTGAACCTTATTGATTGAAATTGGGAGCGTGGGGATCAAGGTTAAGGGCTTAGGTGTGAGATCTTTTGACCTTGGTGAATGTGGTCTGGTGTTAAAGTGGAACTGATGTTAAAAATGAATAGTAGATCATGTTCATCTACTATCACATACCCTTTCATCCTTCCTCGGATATTTATTAGCTCATCATTCACACAGTCAGGCAGGAACTGACTTCTTTCAGAACATACTTTCTATTTAGTGGTGAGAAATAGGACTGGACTGTAGTCGCTGCATTTGGAAATAGCCAAAGATTAATTCCTATTTTGTTCATTTGAGGAAACATGGCATCCCGATAAGGTCAACTTTATTACCATTCAGCTAGCAAATGTCAACACTACTTCATGTAAGTTTATCTCAGGGGGGAGGCAGTTTTTTGAGAAGTCATGGGGGCTGTAGGGATAATCATAAATGGAGGGTTCAAGCTGGGTAATCCTCAGTGAATCACAACCCTTGGATTTAACAGTATTTTAATTTCCAGAAGGGTAACAGTGTTTGTCTCTTGCAGCAAAAATTAACTAGAATCTTGTGGTGTCTTATAGATTAACAAGTGCATTAGGACATAAATGCATTAGGACATCATGGGCATAAGCTTTCAGCCACATTCAGCCTGAGCCTATTATATGTATATATGTGTGTATATATTATTTATTAGCTAACCTTCACCCCAAAGTCCCAGGGCGGGTTACAACATAAATAAATGTTGTAAATACAAATAAAACACAATATTAAGAACAGTTTAAAACAACTTACAATCACAAAATAAGGTAGGCCCTAAAAAGATGCCTCTTGAGTGTCAAATGCCCAGAATAAAGAGTAAATATAGAAAAATATATTCAGAAGCAATTCAGCAAAGGAGATCGGTGCAAACACTGTGAGGCATGCAAAGATTTCTTGATAAGATACCTACTATTTAAGAGCGGAAAGACTATATATATAAAATATAATTTAGCATCCTAAGCAGCACAGGACTTCTCATTCATGGAGAATAATTGTAATCCCCATTATGTATGGGATTTTTAAAACAAAAGTTACCTTAAACATCTTTTTCATTTCATTGTATATCATTTCCGTCTTCCTCTTCTCTTTCAGTGACTGTGACCAGTTCCATAGAAAAAGGTATGTGGCTGTTTACGCATTTTCAGTTGAGGGGTGAAGGAAGCTTCATGCAGCGTTAAGCCATGTTGTTTAACACCATCATGTGTACTTTGACCTTTAGCGTCCTTTGTCATTTGCACAGGCCAATATCTCCACTAGGTATATCTTGCTTTCTTGTAGAACAGATAAATATTTCCCTGTCAGTCACCTAACTTGAGGGAGAGTTCATGCTTTTTCATTTATTCATCTCCCTGAAGACTAGGCTGTCTTGGAAGCCAAGCATTAAAACAAAGAGGATGGGGGGAATCAGTGCCTCTTTATGTCTTCCTGATTGCTCTTTTTCTCCTTTAGTGGCCTACCTCACCATATTCCATGTGATCTTCCTGTTCTTCATATGGACGTATTGGAAGTCTATATTTACTCTTCCACAGCAACCGGACAAAAAGGTAAAAAAAAGCAGGGATGCTCTGGAGCAGCAAAGGAAACAGTTGAATCAAGAGTTAGTTCTGCTGCCTCACCCTCTTCAGCCTTAAGAATGACTAGCCACAGTAGCCTGAGAGCAAACAGATCAACCGTGGGTGGGGGTGTGAGAGTGGGGGGAGAGAGGTGCAGCATGAGATGATTAGGTATGTTACAAGATCCTATAAAAAAACCCATCAGAACAGGAAGAGACAAAAATCTAACAAGTGCTGGAATCACATTTATTGATACTAATTGTAATCATCCCAATGTGATTCGGTCAAATGACTCTTTGTCTGTAGTAGCTTACGTTACTATCACATAACTAACTACAGTGGTACCTCTGGATGCGAATGGGATCCGTTCCGGAGCCACATTCACATCCAGAGCAGAATGCGTCTGCACATGCGCAAACGGCAAAACCCAGAAGTAACGCGTTCTGTTACTTCCGGGTTGCCACGGAGCACAACCTGAAAATGTTCAACCTGAAGCAACTTCAACCCGAGGTATGACTGTATATTATAGTAGCATGCCTCTATAAAGTTAGTTATAGTTGTATTATTATAACAAGTTGGTTGAAACCTGTGTGGATTCCATGGCGACCATGTAAGTGTGCTAGATACAGGGCATACCCTTGGTTTAGTCTTTGTCCTTAGTGGAGAGAGGGGTGGCCATAACCCTGTTGTCACAGTCTGACTTTTTCCTGGCAAAGTTTAGACTTCTGACAACAGCCAAACCATTAGTGGTTGGGAACGACTCTGGATGGTCTGTCTCCAAAGACTAATGGAGCCAGATAGGTTCCTGGCTGTTCTGGGGGATTTCCCTGTGGACAGAGCCAGTGACCCAGTCAAGGCCTTGGTCTGTCAATACCATCACTCCAGTGCTGCAGGGCCCGCACTGCACCATGGTTTACTGAGTTGTGGCAGATGGTGGAAAACTTGCTCCAAAGATGACCAAACGCTTACTCGTTCATACAACTCTGCCTGAGAAGTGGTGCTGAAGGCAGTGGAGAAGAACTACTTTGCTGCCGGCATCACCTTCTCGGTGAATTGTCCAGCAGTTATTTCAGGTGGCCCCAAGGCTAACTGTACCAGAAGTGCTGAATGACACCCCCCCACACACACCACCCCTGAAGCATTTGGTAGCATGCTGTGAGTGTGTTGCACTGCATTTTGGGGATAAAGTCACTCAGCTCTGTAGCGCTTTAGATCAGTGTTTCCCAACCTTTTTTGGGCAAAGGCACACTTGTTTGATGAAAAAAATCTTGAGGCACACCACCATTACAGCCCCGTGACGTCAGCGCGCAGCGTCACGCCGGGAGGGAAGGGTGCCGGGGTGCTGCTGCTGCTGCCGCTGCCGCCGCCGCTCCCGGCAGGCATGGACCCAGCTGAGGCGGCGGCAGCTGTTGTGGTGGTGGCGGCGATAGCGGGCGGAGGAGGGGGCGGCGGCGGGGCCGAGGTGGCCGGCGGCGGCGGGTGAGGCAGCGGCGGGTGGAGCAGGAGGGCGGCCGAGGCCGGTGAGGGAGTAGGGTTGCCCGGGGCTTGAGGAGCCGTCGCCGGGAGTTGCTGCTGCTGTTGTTGCTGCTGCTGCCCGGACATGCCGGCCTCCTCCTCGTCCGCTGTCTCGCGCTCCTCCCTTTTGCGCGCGCTGCCCCGCCACCGCCCCATTGGCCGGGTCCTGTCAGCTGATCCTGTGTTATTTCCTCTGTGTGTGTGTGAGGGGAGAATGGAGAGAGAAACCTCGGCACCACCACCGCGGAGCCGCCCCCGGCTCGACGCGGATCCTCGCCGCCGCCGCCCCGCCTCTCGCCGCCCGACTCGCCCGCCTCCCTCCCACGGCACACCAGGCAACGTCTCGTGGCACACTAGTGTGCCGCGGAACACCGGTTGGGAAACACTGCTTTAGATGTAGCAATTGTGCAAGCCCAGTGTTCAATTTAGCACCTTCCCATATTTTATGCAATCTCTTTGGGGGCTTTGTCTCTTGTTTACCACTTAGAAATGCAAATGACTAAGTGGTATATAAATGTCTTAAATAAATATAATCCTCTTCTTCTTCTTCCAGTTCCACATGTCTTATGCTGACAAGGAGCGCTATGAGAATGAAGAGAGACCAGAGGGACAGAGGCAGATCCTTGCTGAAATGGCACGGAAATTGCCTGTGTACACGAGAGCAGGGAATGGAGGTCAGCTGCACACAGCCTTTGAAATGTCCACCTCATCACTCTTAAGCGGCACACACCAGCAACCCACCTCATGAAACATGTCCTTGCCTTTTTGACCTTAAGAACCTTAATGCGGAGGGAATCATATTAGTTTAAAAGGATTTCCTTTTAACTTTCTCTGTCAGTCTTTGCAGTAGAGAGGAAATCCCTTAAAGATGTTCTTGATTTGTAAGAAAGTGGCTCAATGCTTTGTTACCATATGCTGCTTCAGTCTCCAGCTGCTGTATACATTCAGAGATCTAACTGGATTTCAGACCTGAATTGTGCTCTTAAAACATCAGATGTCCAATGGTAGAGTATGCACTACACTTTCTTCAGGAAGGCCCCATGGTTTTGTTTCTTTATATATATATATTTATATCCCAACTTTTTTCTCCAAGGAGCACAATGTGGCATACACATTTCTCCCTCTGCCAGCTCAGAACTGGTTGCTTTTAATAGTAGGCTGAAAAGTTGTGACTGGCCTAAGGTTCACCCAGTGAGCTTCATGACCGAGTGGGGATTCGAACCACCACTGGTCACAAGTAGACAATGGATCCATATTATGATCAATTAAGAAGTAGCTTGATTCCATAGATAGTCACCCCCAGATGTTTTGGACTACAACTCCCATCAACGCCAGCCAGTATGGCCATGCTGACTGGGGCTGATGGGAGTTGTATTCTAAAACCTCTGGAGGGCACCAGGTTGACAAGTGCTCCTGTTAAACTTGAAAAAAAATTAATTGCATCCAGCACAGTGTGGGACATCATGGCCATATACATGGCTAATTTTAGCCTACTCACATCAGAATTTTATACTTCTCTGTTCCTAGAAGCTAACAAGAACTGCCAGCTCAGAACTGGTTGCTTTTAATAGTAGGACATTGATTTGCAGTAAGCGAAAAGAAGTCATTCATGAAGTCTAGTTCAACCAGGTGGTCTAAAGCCCAATGTGGTTTACGCTTATGAAACATGCAAAGCCCCATCGCAAACATATTTTGTATCTAATGTTTGCTCTTTACTGAAGTGTTTAAATCTTTCAAGCTATTGTTAATGCCTTGATTGTCTTCATATTCATGCTTCCAATTTCATAGGACTGTTAATAACAAATAGCATTTATTTTATGCATTTCAAAGCAACGATCAAGCTTGTAAAATCAGGCAGTATTATCAGAGGAAATGGTCTTGCTTAAAGCTGCCTATAGAGAGAGAGATTTGCTCACTCCCATTATGGCTAATAAAAGTGTTATGGGGTGTGCTTCTTTGCAGCTATTCGATTCTGTGATAGATGCCAGCTCATCAAACCTGACCGCTGCCATCACTGTTCGGTTTGTGCCATGTAAGTTTACCAGAATGATTTACATCACTATAACTCCACTCGTGAAGAAGAAAGCTAACTCTTGATGCTTCAAGGAGAAAGATAGGGCAGTCATGGGCTTGTCTACATTTGGGCATCATTTTACTATTAATCCACTTTCCTCCCATATGACCAGAGTAGTCCACACTCACACATATTTGAATTTGTGTATGAGGAAGAACTTCAGTCTTTTCTGTTGATACCAGCAAGTGTTCCCTTTTGTGTTTGTCCCCACCTTCTATTTTGTTGAGTCTATTTTGCCAGTTAAGTACTGACAGAGCATGCATATCCCTGCACCCACACCTGTTTGTTTTTGAATGAATGAATGAATATTTGCATCAGCCATAGCAATAAAACAAAAATACGATATACAAAAAATGAAAATAAAAAGTCAATAACAGTATATAAAATAAATCTTGATCTTCCAAGAGAAAGGACACTGTGGCAGTGACTGGGTGGCCCAGAATGGACGATAAAAGAGGGGTGATAACCTCATTCCTCAAGTCTTTATAAATAGTTTGTTTTTTGTTTAAACCCTGCCCCCCAGGAAGTGCACAAAACCACACACAGTCAGGCAGTTATAAATTCTCAGTATACAGTTTTTAATTTAAAAAGATAACACGAAAAACCAAAGATAGTATTATTTCTGTTCTTTTGGTGTTTCCCTTCATGGTGTCCTGATCTTTTTTCCCTTTTTACAGGTGTGTATTAAAAATGGATCATCATTGCCCATGGTGAGTGGCACCCCTTGAATTCTATCTTTCTCATGTCCTCCAGATGTTTTGGACTACAACTCTCTTCAGCCACAGTCAGCATGGATGCTGGGGCTAATGGTTGTTGTAGTTCTAAACATCTGTGGTGCACCAGGTTACAGGAGGCTACTGTAGAAAAGCCTTTGGCAATAGCTGGGATCCTTTGAGGACAGATGTTCTAACGACTAGCAAAGACCAAGTGTTACCTGTGTGTCTTAGTGCTTCAAACTGACCAACTGTTATTATCTGAATACATAAATGCCATAGACTCCTGTACCAAGTATAGTGGGATATGACAGCCAGTGGGGAACAGTATTTGAAATTACTATTCAGTGGAAATTCATGTCTCCTGTGCACCAGAATAAAAGGTTTCCCAGTGTTATTAACTATGGGAAATTGCTAACCCAGTTTTTTGTTTGTTTATTTGTTTTAATAGGAAAGCAGGATCTTTTGGTTGAACACTCCCCAGTCTGGAGCACGTTTTAAACCAAATTTGAATTGAGTGTCTGTGGCACCCTGGGAATGAAAAAATCAAGTTGTGTTGTTTCTTAGGTCTTTCAGCCTTAATAAATAGATGGCTTGTGTTTTCTGTGGAATATAAAAGTTGGAATATGAAAGTAAATGAGACTGAGATTATGCCCAAGTGCTGAGATGGAACTTACTTCCCCAGAAGGCAGTGATGACCACCAACTTGGATGGCTTTAAAAGAGAATGAGACAAATTCATGGAGGAGGCTATGCTCTGGCTCCACAGTTGAAGGCAGCAATGTTTCCAAAATACCAGTTGCTGGAAACCACAGGAGGGCAGAGTGCTCTTGCACTCTGGTCCTGCTTGTGGGTTTCCTTTGGGGCACCTGGTTGTCCACTATGAGAACGGGATGCGGAACCAGAAGGGCCATCAGCCTCACCCTGCAGACTCTTCTTATGTTCCTTCTTATAGCTGGTCATGACGTTGATGGCACTCTGCAGTTTTTCTCCATCAAGGAAATAAGAGTGCTTTTAACTGCTTTCACTTTGCTCCCAGCCCCATTGTGCTTAACGTGGCTTTTTTCCTCCTCCTTTGCTCTCTAGGGTAAACAACTGCATTGGATTTTCTAACTACAAATTCTTCCTGCTATTTTTAGCATATTCTCTTTTGTACTGCTTGTACATAGCTGCAACAGTCTTCAAGTATTTCATCAAGTATTGGACAGTAAGTTTTTGAACCTGACTGCTTTCTATGTTTTGGTTTTTTTAAAACACTCTGGGTTCTAATATTAAAGCAGTGACCATAGCTCAGCTGGAAACACACGTTTGTTTCCATGCAAAAGGATCCATGTTCCATCCTTAGCATCTCCAGGTGGTAAAACCACTTTCTGAAATCCCTGGAGAGAGCCTCTTCCTTTAGAGCAAACAACCCTGTGTTCAGTGGTCTGACTCCAATATATGAAGCCCAAATCAAGTGGTCTTCTAATTAGGCACAAGTAAGAAATTTTGGAAATTTTGTTTTTCTTTCTTAAATTCTTCTTTACTGGAGAATAACTGAGAATATATCTCATTGCAATAACAGGCTGTCTTCCTTGAGTCAGACCACTGGTGCATCTAGCTCAGCTCTAACTGGCAGCAGCTGATGTCCGCTGTATGTGTGTGTGGCGCTTTGTGGCCATTTTGGGGTTGATTATTTTTGTGGTGATCAGGCTGAGGTTGTTGGGGCTGGTAGGGGTTCTAATTGCTTTGAATTTAGTGCCTGGTCAGTTTTAGTCTTGTTCTTTGCTGTTTGTTTCATAAGAAGAATAAGAATAGTATTATCATCATCTCTCCATGGCTCTTCCACAGCTGGAACTGCAAGATTGGTAAGAAAGATGTGTGAATCTGCTCACTTTCCTTTGCTTTCCTTTGCAGGAGGAGCTGACCAATGGGCGTGCCAAGTTCCATATCCTTTTCCTCCTTTTTGTGGCAATCATGTTTTTTGTTAGCCTCCTCTTCCTCTTTGGCTACCATTGCTGGCTCGTCAGCCAAAACAGGTCTACGTTGGGTAAGCTATTTATTGCACCTGCTCTGCAGAGTTCTTTGGTTAGGAGCAGAGGGTGTTGGCAGTAATGGGTTTTGAAAGGACTGTTTTTTCCCAGAAAATGTTCTGCAGCTGCTCAGGCAGATTTGAGAAATGGAGGGTGTGGAACAAAACCACACCTTTTCTCTTGACAGATGTGCATCATTCAAATCCCTACTCTGACATCTTCTCACATGAGATCCTCAGCTGAGACTTTACATTAGGTGCTACGACTGCTTGAAGTATATCAGGTGGCCATACATTAGAGCAAGGGTGAGCTGGCCTCCAGTTTGTCAGTACTGCTTCATTTTTTACTGGAACTTCAAGATTTACCAAGTGTAAAGGCATACAGTTAGAATTTAAGGAGCAGGGTGTTTCTGAACTCATGCTCAGCCCTAGAAACTGAGTTGGGCTCACAGTCCTTTCACACAAACATCTGCTCCTGGTTAACACAAACTTTCTTCATTTCAAGTAGTTTATAATATACATATGAAAAACCTTGTTGTTGTTGCTATTTTTAAACAATTGCAAGTCAGAAACTGTTGCTGAACTACTGCAGATCATCCAGAGATCTATCAGTAGATTCCAGTCTATCTTCCGTTCACCTCTTCATTAGTGGACCTTTGTAACAGTGAAACCCAGTCTTTATTTTTTATTTTAAAAGTGTAATCCTGCTCTTCATGATTTTTTTTAAACTCAAGGCTACTGGAGTGGCTTACAGATCATTACAGATGTGACAGAACCTGCCTCCAGGTTTTACTGTCTAAAAATGCATGGCACAAAAGGGAAATGACGTGAGGGGAAGAGGAAATAAGAAAACTTATGTACAAGTTCTTAGGTACAAGTTATTCTGCTGAGAAACTGTGGTGGAATGGTTCAAGGGGTTAATAATCCCAAAGTTGCTCGTCTCTACAATCTGTCACTCAAGGAGACACACCTGGTGCCCTCAGGTGCAGGAAGGATGCGTCTGAGTATGCAGAAACCACTACTGTTTTTCAGTGGCCACTTTTCACTTCCAAAACGATAGGCATTCAGCTATCAAGTTCAGTAAAGGAGAGTATGGTAATAAACAAATCACTTTTTTTTTTTTTTTGGTCTGCAGAGGCCTTTTCAGCTCCTGTGTTTCCTACTGGCCCTGATAAAAACGGATTTAATCTTGGCATTAAAAAAAATCTTCAACAAGTGTTTGGAGAGAAAAAAAGACTTTGGTTCCTCCCTGTGATATCCAGGTAAGCAGACAGGAAGCTGCTGTCAGCCTAAGAGTAGTAGAGCACAAGATCTCTACAGTAAACTACAGAACAAGACAGGAGAAGCTGTCAGACTTTCCTTTGGTGCAGGGGACAGCAGCAGCCTAGATCAAGTCTGTGTTTTGTGAATAGTTTTGTAGTTAAAAGTAGAAACAGAATCTGCTTTCTCCTCCTCCTCCTCCCCTCTCTCCCTTCCTCCTTCTTCTGGATGGAGCCCGGGTGCCTTTACCAATTTGTTGCCTTTGTCTCCACAGTCAAGGCGATGGACATTTTTTTCCAACAAGAACTCTGAGTGAAGCAAGGAATCCACTGCTAGCAAGTGAAGAGCAATGGGAGGAAGATGGGTTGGACGATGATAACCTCGGTAAGGATGGGAAATGCATCTGGAACTTACTGTTTTGGGGAGAGTCACTGTGTTGCAACAGTAAGGTCTTGTGGCACGTTAATGACTGACACAAATATTGCAGCAGGAGTCTCTATTTCATAAGGTGCAAAAACTAGACCGTGAAAAGGATGGATGTAGATATCCATGGATAAAGTAGGGTAGGGTGGTATGGTGGCCTCTGATGCAAAGTGGGATTTTGAAAATGAGTAAGATTTGCTTCAAACAGAAACCACTCATCATCATTGTTATTTATCACTATTGCTTTTTCAACATCAGTGAGCCCAAAGTGACCCACAGCACAATAGCAGAAGTACATAGTAAAAGTGGATTCATACAGTACAAAAATCAATACCATTTCATTTCAAAACATAATATGGCAATACAAATAATTCATTTCAATTTCAGATTGAAAATCTGAACATTATACCATTTTTAATTAATTATAAAATGGGCAATACAGTTCATTAAAGCATGTATCAATTGATTAGATATAATAAGCTTTCCAATGCAGTCAGGTATCAACAAATAATATAACTAGTAGCTGGTTCCTCAGACCTGCCAAGTGCAGGAAATAGCAATCAGACATTCTAGAGTCTGCAACAGCAGCAGGTGACCACTCATAATACTCTGATGCAGTTCTTAAAAGCTCCATCAGCAACAGAGACATGGGGTTGGATGGTTGATGTTCAGTCTCTATTCCTGCACTCTAGATGTTCCTGCTGCTTCTGAATGAGGTTTGGTTACTATGGCTAACCATCCCATTTATTGCTCCTGGAATCAAGAGCAACTATGAGTCACACCCTCTGACTTCATTGGCCGCAACAGCAGCTGAGAGGAACTAGCCAGGCATGAATTTAGAGCAGCCAAACAACAGGAGCCACTTCCATGAGCTGCAGAGAATCCCAGCTGACAAAGTGTCAGGGAGAGCTAAGCAGCTGAGCAAATCTAACAGCAGGGCAACGAGGCCAGAGCACACTCCTTTGCCCCTCCTTTCTATGACCTAAAAAAACCCTGCGCTTCCAATAAACAACTTGATAAACTACAAACTTTATGCAGTGCGTAGTTAAACTATGGCACCCACTATAGGCATCAACTTGGAGGGCTTAAAAAAGGATTTGACAATTTTATGGAGATAAAGGCTGTAAGTGGCCACAAGCCATGGTGGCAATGCTCTGCCTCTGTAGTCAGAGGCTGTGTGCTTCTGAGTACCAGTTGCTGGAAACCGCAGGAGTGGACAGAGTGCTTTTGCTCTCCAGTCCTGTGTGAGTGCTTTCCACAGGCTACTGGACTAGATGGGCCATTGGCCTGATCCAGCAGGCTCTTCTTACTTTATGTTCTCCCCACATCCTTAAAAGCAGCTGTCTGGGAAGATTTGGGCAATCTAATTCTCACCACTGAGGGCCCAGATTTCCTGTTTCTCCATTTAAGCAGGAGAAGCAGCGGCTCTCCCACGGCTAGCGGACTGTGGCTCTCCCACGGCTAGCGGACCGCTGCGCTAATCCCGAAGCTTGGGGCGTGTGGAGCTCAGCGCACCCCAAGCTTCTGGGTGCTGGCAAGGTCTCCGCTAGCCGTGGGAGAGCCGCGCAACTTCGTGCGCCCCATAGGACGCACACACATTTCCCCTTCATTTTTGGAGGGGGAAAAGTGCGTCTTATAGGGCAAAAAATACGGTAATAAGCTGCCGTCAATTCTTCTGGTACCAGATTAATTTCTTATTACTGACTTTGTACAAATCTGGTCACATAGCTAGGGAAGGCCTGTCACTTTCTCCTTTGCTGCAGATTGAACCAACGGACTCTCAGAAGAAGTGCACACAAGAATAGATAAATAGGCTCACCCCAGCAAGGCTTCTCCTTTAGGCAAAAACAGTTAATCTAAAGAGTATCTGAATGCTCCCACCCTTGTTCCTCTACTAGCATATCCAGCAAAGCCAATCAGTGGAGCTGCAGAACTGGTCAAGTTGTCTTCCCAAGTCTCAGTGTCCTGGAAGCACTTGAAAGGGACTGTGGTAAAACTCCCCCCTCCCTTTCTGGCAAGGCACTCCTTCAATTCCATGTTTGTCGGCTTTCACATTGACATTATTCTGTGCTAGAAAATGCTCTGAAGGATGCTTCATTGCAAAATTTAATAATCTCATCTTCTCTGAGGCTCGCACTTCGAACTCCAGTGCTGCTGGAGAAATGTACTCTCCTAGGATCTTGGAAGAATTGTTGAAGTGGCTGCGTTAGCATTGTCTCTGATGAGTGACTAAGATTGTCATTAGTGCACCTGGATTGGGGCAACATCTTCTCCTGATGCTACACCACTTAGATTGCAGGAAAGGGAACTCATTACATGCTGTGCATGTGTGTAAGAGAGAGTGGGGGATGGGGAGAGGATGTTGCTAGATTGTGGTGCAGTGCACACACGCCTGTTCAGTAGAAAGTCTCACTCAGTTCCATGGGGCTTAGTCTCATGGTGAGAGGATGTGAAATTACAGCTTTAGTAACTTTATTATTATTTATTTAAAAGTGTTATAGTCCACATTTATGAGTAAAGCTCACTCAAAGCATATTACACAGTGACAGTAAAGGGGGGGAAATCTGACAATAATGAAGTAGAATAGAATGCAAAACCTCCTATAAAGCTCATATCTTTAATAAAACCAGCAATTATAAATACACACCCAGTCCAAATATAAAATTATGCCCAAAGATAAAAGTTGCTGTCATGCTGCTGATAAACAATCCATGATTTGGCTTAACATAATGTCTTAACCTGGATTTGTGGTTTGTTTTCCCCAAACTAACCATGTGCAGTGAGCCAATAACAAACTTTGGTTTCTCCTCCTCTGAACATCCTTTAGTGCCACATTTTCTTCTATTTGGACAATAACTTCTAGGCAGAAAACCCAATTGATGTTTACTCCCGATTTAGCGCTAAACAGTGGGTTTCCCCGGGGAAACTGTGGGACCAAGCAGAGGTGTGGATGTGTCCATGGTTTGTTTGGAGAGAAACCAACCAGGAGCCCAGGTTCAGATGTAATGCTAGGCCAAACTGTGAGTTTATTCCAGGCAACATACCAGCAGCGGGAGGGAGGGAGGGAGCAAAGTGCAAAGAATTTCAGTATACTACAGGTTCACTTTCAACCAAAGTTTATTTTAAACTATGGTTTAATGTGATGTTTGAACCAGGGCAATGTCTGCCTTCTCCCACATTTCAAGTCTCTGCAGCTAAATGCAGGCCCCATCCATGGTTCCAACATCAGCCATTTTCGTACAATATTGTGCCTTATTGTGGATTTTGTAGCTTCCCGACTTTGCTTTCATAATTGTGGTAGTCATGGAAACCCATTCTTGGGTAGAGTAGTGCCAAGAAACAAAGTGGTCTTAGATTGGAAATCAGGAGGGTAACCCCAGACTTGAATGATAGCATGCAATTACTTTTCACCCTAGTGGTGTTTTGCAACATTCAGATTTCTGACGCTGTGTTTATTAATGTTTTATTTGGTGCAAATGTTTTTGTTTTACCAACTAGATTACAACCAAGGTTCTTCAATTTCTGTGGAAATGGAGACGTAATATTTTTGAAAGGCTGTTGGTACAAAAATCACACTCCCAGGTAATCATCCTATCCTCAGGTTAACCCCCACCCCACCCATAGTACCAGCTCCTTTGATCAGTATTTATTTCATGCATGTACATTTGACCTGGATCTGTTGGGGGGCGTGTTTGCACAGTTTGATGTCCTCAGTCTGCCACTAACAGACCCAGAACCCTCCTCTTAGGATAGGATAGACATGAAAATAAGTTTTGATAAGAGTTTTGGTGGTTCAGATAAAGCTTGGTCAGTCAAAGTGAATTGTTAGCACAGAAGGCCTTGTAGCCGGAGGTTCCTTCTGCTCTTAGGAAGGCTGTTTTACATCTTTCATTTGAGCAGGGGTGGCTAATTCTCAGTTTTGGGGGCCTGATCTGTTCCTCCAAGCAATTTTTCCTACCTTCCCAAGACCCAGTGGGAAAGTGGCAAAAAGGGGAAGGGGAAAAGTAAAATGGGCACAGGACTGTGGTGGCAGTGTCCTGCACAGTGATGGGGATGGGGATGTGAATCACCTCCTCCATGGACATCAGATTGATCTTGGACTAGTCAAGGAGAAGGGTCTGTGTGTGCACATGAGAGCCTGTGCGTGCCAGAGTGGATTCTTTTGACTGCAACCATTGCTAGCACGTGGCTCTACTAGAGGGTTGGGGAAGGGCCAGAAAAAATGTTACCTACCCCTGCACTGGAGCATTCTATGAAAAATATGCAGCGACATCCAAAGAGCTTGAGCCACATCTTGTGATGCATGAGAACTGCCACAGAACTTGTTGCAGTACTGTGTGAACTCCTGCATAAGTGTATGCTGGAACAGCTAGTGCTGGTGTTCTGTATCCACCCTGAGGAATAATTTCCTATATTTTTTCATCAGTTTATATGCTGGTCTGGAATAATAGGTTACATAATAAATGTATGTATGTGAGCTTGAAGGAAACAAACCATCCAGCCTGACAGCAATGAATGCTTAATGGCTATTGTTGATTGATTAGCCTGCTCTTGAGCAAGAACAACCCATGCCGACCAAATAATCTTTAAATGCCCCAAAGTTAAAAAGCTTATTTCTAACCTCCTCAATCCTGATTGATCATTTCAATAGGAACTGTGCAACTTTCAGTGGCTTTCCAGATAAACCAGTGGATTTCTCAACCCATAACCAGGACAGTTGTGTTCTTGGAAGTTACGGGGTAATGGTCTATTTTAGGAAACTGTGCCTCCAGTTGAAAGTATGCATTGACTCAACAGACAATTAAGATCTCATTTGGAAAACCTTCCAGCAAACTAAACTAGAAATCTTTTGCTTTAGAACTGGAGAAACTGAACAGTTGGGGATGTGTTACTTGTGAACGTCCTTTGGATGGTTTTATATAATAACTGCACTGTAACGTATATAAGAACACAGAGAAATTCTAGTCAATGTTGGGGTTTTTTGTGTTTGCTTTTGTGGGCAGAGGAAATTCAATCTCTGATTTTCAGCATCATTTGCAGGAATGGCCTTTCTATGATTCACTTCAGGAGGAGCCTTTCCCGGCATGCCACAAGGATTCAGTGTTCCTGTCATCAGGCTGTGACAACCTAAAAGCAGCACTAGATAATAAAGAGAAAGTGTGGCTTATACCAAAGCCAGTAACCGAATGCCTGCTTGCTCCCTCTCCCCCCAGTATCATATAATAATTCTCAATGCTTGATGGGATGTAGTTGCATCAAGGTTCCCCATCCCTGCCAGCAGAACTCAATGACGTAGGGAAGAGTTCGGAAAACAGATTGTGTCAGATGTTTGCTCAATGCTGTGGGTTGGGCACAGGAAGAAATGTGCCTCTTTTGACAGCAGCCAGATATTCCCTATGTCTTCTCTGTCTCTGTCCATTTCACAAAGTCCTGCATGCTAAGGGGGCACCTTGTTCCTGCCATATTCCTCTCCCCAACTAATTGTTTGGCTCTGCAGTACCAATCATAGAATTGTAGAGTTGGAAGGGACCACGAGGGTCATCTAGTCCAACCCCTTGCAGTGCTGGAATCTTTTGCGCAATGTGGGTCTCAGACTCATGACCCTGGGAATAAGAGTCTCATGCTGTACTATGTGCAATGAAGCTTTCCTCTCAGTGTAGCTTAGCAGCTTTTGAGAAGCAATTTTCATTTGGGCTGTAATGGGGAAGAAAAGGGTTAAACTCCTCTCCCTGCCTGTCATGTTACTGATAATCCGTCCTTCATAGGCACAGCTACTATTTGCATTTTTTAATGCAAAGGTGCATCTGATGTCATACCTAGTTTTGAGGTTAAGAGGAGAGAGAAAATGCTTTCAACCAGACTCATCCTTATGCCTTTCTCTCTCCCCCCCACCCCCTTTCCCCAGTGAATTTCAGCTTCCTTCTATGATGGACATTTATGGGGAACAAAAAGAAAGGAAGCACTTGGATTACCTGCAGAAGGGCCATCGTCTGATGCCAATCCTGGCTGTCTGAAATGGTTCTTCAGGATACTGGTGTGGTGATGGCTCCAAGGGTTCCTACTGATTATTGACTCTTGAGCAAGGGCAGCTTTGGTGGATTAAGGCCATTCAAGACCTTTTACTTTTTTATTTCTTACCCAGAATAAGTGAGAACTCTTTGTGCAAATGCTTTTCCAAATGCCTTAATGGCAGTTATCTATGACCCTGGATTTCACAATGTTTTTCATTTTGCCAACTTACAAGAATGGCTCTGTAACAAGGAGTAGATGGCTGGTCAACTGGACTACTTGTACAAGTGCTTTCAAGCAGGAATCATGGTTGCCAAATCAGGTCTTATTGTTAGAAACCCTGGCAAGTATGCACTGCACGTTTAAGGCTGTACGTCTCCTTTCCCTGCCCACAATACCTCCTCTTACTTTTTGAAATCCTTTTCTTTGATTCTGTTAAGAATGTTGGCCCTTTTGGTCTAAGAAACACACCCTTTTTGGTGTGGTGTAAAAAAAAAAAAAGCCTTCAAGCACAATCCCTGTTGCAGATGTTAAAGGGATGTTTTCTTTTCTAAAATATTGGGCAGGATCCTGACACGGCAGATGTTGCAGATGTTAAAGGGATGTTTTCTTTTCTAAAATATTGGGCAGGATCCTGACACGGAACACCTCCCTTTGACCTGTGGCCCAGTACTCCTTGAAGTGGTCATCCTGTGCCTGAACTGCACCACTTTGGACTGTGGGGGGGGACCAACTCTGGTTCCCTCCAGATCTTTTGGACCATGACTCCCATCAGTCACACCTAGCATTGGCCAATGAGTGTTGTGGTCCAAAACATCTGGAGGATTCCAGGTTGGTGAAGGCTTCTAAGTCTCTCTCCACATAGAAAAGTGCCATGCTGGGGATCAGTTGTCTAGACTTCTTTATGTTAGAGGGAAACATTTTGCACAGAGAACCCTTCAATCATGTGAAGCTCCAGCAGGCACCACTCAGGCACAAACCAATATTGCTTATTTTTCAATACTTAGTAGAAAGAAGGGGAGTGGGGAATGATTATTTTTCAGTGAGCAAATAGGACTGAGACTCTTCGTTGAAAAAATAAAACCAATATATTTTTTTTTCATAACGTTTGACAGATGTGCTATTAGGTGTGCTGGATTGAGCTGACTGTCTTCCTTTTCTAATTATATCTGATATAAGAACCATTTTTAGTCTGAAGGTCCAGCCAACACAAGACATTTTCCTGAGACTTTGTTGCTGCATAAGTGATGAAAATACAAGCATTGTTTGGGCGGGGGGACTGTGTGGTTGATGCAGGACATCCAAAGGATATCATGGTATACACTTTGGAGTCTCAAGCATGTGTACCACAGAGGAGTTTGCACAGCTGTCTCCCTCAAGAGCAAGGCATTCTTTTTTACACATCCTTGCTAAGAAGCTGGGAAAAGAAATACTTCACCATTTCTTAAGTGTTGTCTCAGTATTTCTTCCATTGTTCTTCCTTTTTCAATGGTCATGTTTACGGGATCTCACATTCCCCACTGCTCCAGAAGGTTAATGTGCAATTCCTCAACCTCGCCCCAAAAAGTGAAGACCAACACAGAAGATGACGTATACCTCAATCCCACTGAAATAATTTAAGCTTGTGTGTTTAAACCTTAATTGATTTCAACAGCTGTGCTTTTCACACAGCTCATAGTTAACCTACGCAATTCACCACCGTAAGGCGTAGCAACTGTAATTTAGACAAATGCATGGACAATAAGGCAAGCAGTAGCTACTGGTCATGATGGCAGTGTGCCACTTCCAGTATCAACGTCATCATGCCTCTGAATGCCAGGTGCTGGGAATCACAAGCGGGACAAGTACAGTTGTGCTTCTGTCCTGCTTGTAGGTTTTGCATAGGTACCTGATTGGCCATTGGGACAACAGGATGCTAGACTCAATAGGCCCTTTGGTCTGATCCAGCAGGGCTTTCTTATGGGCTCCCTTGGGGATGAAGGGCAGGGTATAAATACACATAAATAATATCCTTGTGTGTGGTTGGGGATAGATTGAATCACAACCCACATCCTGCATTGTAAATTCACTGCCAAAAGCCAGGTCTGAATAGGGATAGGTGAGGATGTCACTTCCAGCTGGCCAAAAGCCTGGGCCCATCTTTCTCTTTTGTGTTCACAGCTATAGAATGCTTTGGTTTCTTGCCAGGGCTGGCAATACAGGGCCAGGGCGCTAATGCTGCACTTACTACCTTCCCTTGGCAGACACTATCATACTGTTGTTCTAATTGTCATTTCTATTACTGTGCCAGATCCCTGGGGGCTGTTCAGCTGTTCAGCTTGTAATAGCACAAATGGAATAAATGTAAATTATACTGCTAAACATTTTTTTTGGAGGGGGGGAAGCTGTGCTTAATTTCATAATTTGCCTAAATAAAACTTCCCATTATGAAGTAACCAAAAATAACCTAAGTTTATCTCTGAAAACACCTTAGCAACCTGTTTTTATTGCAATCAGGCTTCTTAAATGAACAATTTTTATTCTAAACAATCATCAGTTTAGAAGGGCTCTGGTCCAGAGAACTTTATAGAGGAAAAATATCTGCTAATGCACAATCCAGAAATGCCTGGTGCCCACCAAACATTTTAGACTATAACCCCCATCTACTCCTTTCAGGCACAGCAGTTATCATCCAAAACATCTGGAAGACACCAAGTTGGGAAAGGCTGCAGCATAAATTTTGTGCACTCATAAACAACAGGGATCTGATACCCAATTTACTAACAATGCAATATCTGTGTAATACTGCCAACATTATGCCTATAGATATAAACCTAAGTACAGTATAGAAAACTATTTAAAAATGTTTATGTAGCTTGTGCCCCTTGTCTTCTTAACCTTTTTTCCAAGGATCTGCGTTGAAGAGCATCTATACATGCTGAGTAAACAAAGAAACTTGCAAAATATTCCATCAGTTTTTATCACCTGTTCTAAGGAGCAGGTCATTGATGATTCTCTGGATGGCAGATGACAGGATGTTCTGCATGCCAAAACACCCTCCTGGTATATTCAAATATGAACATATTATTGCATACTGTTGCTGCTTTAAGCAGGGGAGTTGTGGGCCGGGGGCTCAAGCCCCAGGCCTGTGTGGTAGGCCTCTCGATTGCTAGCGCTTTTTAAACTTAATTTTATTTTTACTTTTCTTACAAGGCAGCTGAGCACACTGCAAAGTACACTGCTGGTGCCCCTTGAGTTCTTTTAGTAACTAGCATCACTCCTGACTTTCAAGCATTCATCCATTTCTTGCATTTCATTCAGGTTTTCCTACATTTTCACTGCAAATGGAGACCGATGTTAGCCCTAAGGACTAAGCAAATGTCCTGAAAAGGAGGGGGGGCAGTATTTCCTTTCTTGCTGTAGTTCTGTGCTTTTGAACAAAGCAGGAAACACAAGAATGTTGTGCAGGGTGCAGAGGCAAATCCATTCCATTGTTGCTCCTTGAAGAAGGCTGACATTGTGGGTTGTCCCTAGAGTGATGCTGTTTCTTTGTTGGGCTTGACACAGGGGACTTGTGGCTTACAGCTATCCTGTATAAATACTTCCAGTCTCTAAGGGAGTAAACATATGCTTTTGGATATTTTATGCATAGCTGCAAAAAAATGCAAAATGTCTCAATGGCTGCTTGAATAATTTGATATCCAATTAAATGATGTGCTGTGCTAATAATAATGTCTAGATACATGATCAACTATCAGATAGCTTCTGTAGTTGCAGTCACTCAGGATTCAAGTCATTTAAACTACCCTAAAGCATTAAGTATTTTCATGGAAATCTTAAGCACTCCTTATGTTTTCACTAATTTAAACAAAACAGAATAATCCAACCCTTCTTTTACCACCACCCCTTAATGTATTAATTCATTATTAGTATTAGACCAAAATTCTTTTTGGCCTCTGTGTACTGCAAAAAGTTGAGCTAGCATTATGTTGGAGATGCAAGATCTGTTCTTTGCCCTGTGTACAAATATATATATATATATATATATCCGAGTGCAGTGTGGACGCAATGAGTAGGCTGTGTATGTGCTATTGTTCCATATCATAACATTCCAGTTTGAAGAACCTTCTGTATGACTGCTTGAACCATGAAGGATATGAGATGCAGTGTGGACACAGCCCAGAATTATTCTGGGCGTGAAACTGCAATCATGAAAGGGGAAGATTGAATAGGTGTCCACTCAACTATCTTCCATAAAAAATGTTACACATACTTAACATTCCAGGTGTTTCTCTGGTTAGCAAGCTTAAGGCATCACACTGGTGTCTACAAAAGTGGGATAGTAAATACTATTTAAAGAATATGGACTTTGCAAAACTTGGGACTTTTTGCAAGAACTGCTATGCTACAGTGGTTTATTTTGTAAATTAGGGCACTACTGAGTCCTTGCTGTTAAATATTTATGGAGCAAAGAACAGTAACTTTGGGAGAGAACACGGGCTGATCAATAGTGTACTGCCTGATGATGTAACAGATATTTATTGCCCAGAATCATAGGGCATTGTCAGATGTGGCATAATCTGAAAGCACAATTTTGGTGCACATTACAATACCAGGAACACTAATTTTTTGTATAGAATACAGTCTTTTGAAATTACTTGCATTGATTTTATTTAGGTACAGTACCTTGTTGGGGAAGACAGTTTTGGGAGAAAATGCTGATGTGGGAATGGTGTACTTCATCAGCAAAATGGTTGTGCTTACCAATAACAAAGTTTTACTTACATAAGAGCATACTGTCAATCACTATGCTTCCCTTAAGTGACTTGTTAATTTTTTAGGATACACTCTGCATTTAATTTTATGGATTTCTAAAACACTAGATTCTAGTTTAATCCAAAGAATTGAAGTGGGTGACAACAGGCTTCATATTAAGGGGATGGAAAGTAGCAGGGTCCTACATGCCCATTTAATACTATTCATTTATCCAGAAAAAAACAAACAGAAGACCTGCAATGAGTATTCTTCCAACCAAGAGAGATCCTCAGCAGTTTGCATGTACATGTACCTGATGTTAATCAACTGGAGAGCTCAGTATACCTGCAAAATATCTTGCTGTGCCTGCCACAGTTCAAATAACCAAGGCATTTGTGCTACCATGTTTTGTACTGTTTTACCTTTGAAGTGGCAGCTTACTGCTTGGTCCTTTTCCTGACCAGGTGTCTTGCCTTTTTCACAGAATTTTTTTGGTACCACTTTTCTGATAACCACTGAATCAAGCTTCATTCTAACTATCTGTATTGGTCATATTGCAATTGCTTTTGTGTTCCAGTTTACTATACTTCCATATGTGTAATTAAGGCCTAATTATTTCATTGATTGTATTTTCAAAAAGGTACCATTTCACCATCTTGTTTTACAGTAGGGAGCATAAGAAATGGACTTCTGTTAGGTTTCACAGAACTGTTTCCCCTCCAAACCTCCATGTAATCATCTTTGTACAAATTCCAAATTCAGCTTTTTGATTATTGCAGGTTTTATTTTGTTGACCCTTTTGAATGTTTTGACTTCATTATCTCAGGTTTGTTCATTAAAAAATGTGTATGTTCATGCTTGTTGCAGCCTTAAGCATGGAAATGTTTTACAATAAAAAAATATTTTATAGAATGAAGTTTAAAGACTTTATTTCAAATATTTTAAAATTCTATTAAGAAGTCTGTATCTACTGCATTCAAACTCCACCAAGAAGAGTTGCAAGAATGGTACCATTTATGTATCAGTGCTTTTTTGTAGACTTCAGCTTGGTGTTTTCCAGTTATCTCAAGGCACTTTCAACTCCTATAATTTTGTCTAAGGGCACTGACATGGAAGCCCAGCATTCTGAAACAGTTACCCTTTTGAGTACTGAGATAGAAAGAGTTTCCAGTTAAAATTTACAAGTGTCAATGAATAATTGGACAGTTTAACATTTACACATGCCAAAAATGTTTTAAATAACCTCCAGCTTGCTTATTCTACTACCAATCATCAAGACACGTTGCCCTTAAATAACACCAAGTGCAAAGACCATTTCACATGGACTGGCTCAGCCAGACTCAACCAAGTATCCTTTTGAAACATGGTGCTTGGCTTTATGAAGCTATGGGTTTTCCCCATCTTGGCAATGGAGTAGTTGTGACAGTACTGATTAGTCACCACTGAGCATAACCACTATCTAGCAACTGAAGACTAATTGTTAAGGATATAAGAGTTATTGCCAATATAAATATTCTTAATTCAATCCTTAGGACCAGCCCTCAGGCAGATATAGCACAGTAAAAGTATAAAAGGCTTGCAGTCTACACTACTAATGAAAGCAGGGGTGCAGCATTTCAGTTTCCCTATGAGCTTGAAAATATACAGGAATGATGTACAACAGCTGTGCTCACCAACCTGGTACCCTCTTTGTGTCGTGAATTCCCATCAGCCCCCAGCCCACCATGGCCACAGGCCAGGAGCAATGGGAGTTGGGAGTCCACAACTAATAGGGGGCACCACCACTGTAGTAATAAATAATAATAATAAATATTAATAATATTTATACCCTGCCCATCTGCTGGGTTTCCCCAGCCACTATCTTGAGTGAATATATCAATACTACTGATATCTTTAAATGAACATTTGCTTTGGGGTAGCAAACCTTGATTGTTGATATATAAGAAATCCTGGTCTCATCCCCCCCCCCACCAACTCACCAGGGAGTGAAGAGGGACAGTAGCCTTCCCCTGCTCCCAATGGTGAGGAGCATTTAATATGCTGTACTGGTCATGGGCATGGAAAAGCTGGTGCTTTGGCTTCCTGGGGAAGGACCCTGTGAGTGGACCCAAGTGAAGACGTCCCTTTTCAGGTTTGCTCTCAGAGTTTAAAAAGGGAGGCCCACAACCCTTTACCCTCAGGCTGCTCGATCACCAGATCCATGCCCTAGCCTAGGCCTAACCTATTCGCTGTAAACCATTATGATTGTTCTGCATTCCTTTTCTTGCCTCGCTCATCTGGCTGGGTTTCCCCAGCCACTCTGAGTGGCTTCCAACAAAATATTAAAATACAGTGGTCTGTTAAACATTAAAAGCTTCCCTAAACAGGGCTGCCTTCGGATGTCTTCTAAATGTCTGGTAGTTGTTCTCTTTGACATCTGGTGGGAGGGCGTTCCACAGGGTGGGTGCCACTACTGAGAAGGCCCTCTGCCTGGTTCCCTGTAACTTGGCATCTCGCAATGAGGGAACCGCCAGAAGGCCCTCGGAGCTGGACCTCAGTGTCCGGACTGAACGATGGGGGTGGAAACGCTCCTACAGGTTTATGGGCCGAGGCCATTTAGGGCTTTAAAGGGCAGCACCAACACTTTGAATTGTGCTCGGAAACGTACTGGGGGCCAATGTAGGTCTTTCAAGACCGGTGTTATATGGTCTCGGCAGCCGCTCCCAGTCACCAGTCTAGCTGCCGCATTCTGGATTAGTTGTAGTTTCCGGTTCACCTTCAAAGGTAGCCCCACGTAGAGCGCATTGCAGTAGTCCAAGCGGGAGATAACCAGAGCATGTACCACTCTGGTGAGACAGTCTGCAGGCAGATAGGGTCTCGGCCTACGTACCAGATGGAGCTGGTAAACAGCTGCCCTGGATACAGATTTGACCTGTGCCTCCATGGACAGCTGTGAGTCCAAAATGACTCCCAGGCTGTGCACCTGGTCCTTCAGGGGCACACTTACACCATTCAGGACCAGGGAATCCTCCACACCTGCTCACCTCCTGTCCCCCAAAAACAGTACTTCTGTCTTGTCAGGATTCAAGCTCAATCTGTTAGCCGCCATCCATCCTCCAACCGCTTCCAGACACTCACACAGGACCTTCACCGCCTTCACTGGTTCTGATTTAAAATAGAGGTAGAGCTGGGTATCATCTGCATACTGATGAACACCCAGCCCAAACCTCCTGATGATCTCTCCCAGTGGCTGCATGTAAATGTTGAAAAGCATGGGGGAGAGGACAGAACCCTGAGGCACCCCACAAGTGAGAGCCCAGGGGTCTGAACACTCATCCCCCACTACCACTTCCTGAACACGGCCCAGGAGGAAGGAGCGGAACCACTGTATGACAGTGTCCCCAGCTCCCAGCCCCTCAAGACGGTCCAGAAGGATGTTATGGTCGATGGTATCAAAGGCCGCTGAGAGATCCAGCAGAACTAGGAAACAGCTCTCACCTTTGTCCCTAGCCCGCCGGAGATCATCAACCAGTGCGACCAAGGCAGTTTCAGTCCCATGATGAGGCCTGAATCCCGACTGGAAGGGATCCAAATGCTCCGCTTCTTCCAGGCGTGCCTGGAGTTGTTCAGCAACCACTCGCTCAATCACCTTGCCCAATAATGGAAGATTTGAGACTGGGCGATAATTGGCCATCGTGGCCGCATCTAAAGATGGTTTTTTAAGAAGTGGTTTAATAACCGCCTCTTTCAGCGGGTCTGGGAAGGCTCCCTCACGGAGGGAAGCATTCACCACCCCACGAAGCCCATCGCCCAGTCCTTCCCGGCTAGCTTTTATAAGCCAGGATGGGCAAGGATCAAGGAGACAGGTGGTTGGTTTCACTCGTCGAAGCAGCCTGTCCACATCCTCGGAGGTAACAGATGCAACTTGACTAGACAGGACTTTAGCACTCTCCCACCCCGGCCCTGCTCCCATGGTGGAGTCTACCTCTTCCCAAATCTGAGCAATTTTATCTGCAAAAAACTTTGCAAAATCATTGTGGACTTATGCACTGTATCACTGGAAAACAGCACTCCCTTTTCTACTCTGTATCTTTTCAAAGAATAAAGACTACATTGTTCAAGAGGCTGCATTAAAAAACATTCTAAAGTATTTTGGTCAATGGAAGACTTTACAGGACTGACTTGTTTGTTTACAATGCAGGAGTTTAACAGAGCAGTGCATAGGTTTGGGCTTCGAGATACACTAAGGAAGATTTCTTTGGGAGCACAAATTCTGCGCAGCCTTGGGAAGGAGCATTATACCTTTGGTTTTTTTTTAACAAAGCTAGACTGGCCTTCCAAACACAAAGAAAGGCAAAGGTGGGAAATTCCATACATCCAGGACAGTTTCTCCACTGTCATTTATAGCAGGCCAAAACAAGAAAGTATTCAAGGATTAGACATAAGGCCCTAAATCATGTATTTGTTTTGAACAAGTAGATAAAGACGTACCACTGCGACGGGAAAGTAAATTGCGTTTCCGTGCGCTCTGGCACTCGTCACAGTGTTTGGTGCGTCAGAAGCGGTTTAGTCATGCTGGTCACATGATGCAGAAAAGCTGTCTGCGGACAAAATGCCAGCTCCCTTGGCCTAAAAGCAGAGATGAGTGCCATACTCTATAGTTCTATTCGACTGGACTTAACTGTCCAGGGCTCCTTTACCTTTTGCATAATTTGTTCTATATTATTATTATTATTATTATTATTATTATTATTTATTACATTTTGTCTATTGCCCCCCTCCCCGATTTTGCAAGTCATGGTGATGGATAATGAGCTCAGCTTCCAGCCATTGACAATCTTATTCAATCACCTCTCCAGCTTTAATGTTTTCAGCTGTTTTAAAGCTTTCAGTCATGAGGGCATGAATTTTGTTCTTTTAAAAGCAAAGATCCTCAGGCCCCAATCACATGATTAAGAGATCCTCATTATGAATATAATGACAAAGGTAACAATGTAAAAAGAAGACACAGCTGATTTTTCTTGAAATCTAAATCTTAAATAGTTTTGGGGTGCCAGCAGATTAGAAAAAATGTCACTATTGAGAATCAATTAGTGCCATATTAGAATAAAACTATAATGCTTTTACATTTTACTGAAGGGATGAGTAACCTGTGGCATTCCAGATGTGACACAGACTACAATTCCATCATCACTGGCCACTGTCCTTGCTAGTTGGATTTAATGGGGGTTGGAGTCCAACAATTCATTCAGGATCCATTCCCCACCCCCCACTTTACAGGCTGTAACTGGAAGAAGCTGCTTTGGATACAGAGCAGTTATCTTCCTTTTCAAATGTGCTGTTTGCAAGAGAACTCTGTGCAAAGCCACCCACATAAGCTGCTCTGCACATACTACACAATCCTTCCAAGGGCTTGTGCAAGCCTGAGCTGGCAAATATGAGCAGTGTATTGTATTGCACACATCACTCTCTGGACTGTGACTGGTTTCTGTTAACCACATCTTCGTAACAAGCTCATAAGTGCAATACGGTTTAAGAATATTACCTGGAGCCGTTGTCTGCAAAGCATCAAGACTTCCGAAAAATTCCAACTGTGCTTATAAGCACTGAAAAATTAAATAGGCTATGGTGTCTTCACAGTTAATTTATTTTGCAGTTACAAGCAGCCACTTAAACTGGCTACAAAAGAATAAATAAAGGAACCATGAGTGCAGCAATCTGGATATGCGCATCATTGGAAGACTGTTGCAGCGCAATGTGCTTCATTGCTGCCCTCAACTCAAGTGGACACAAGATAAAGTATTTTCCCTTTTAAATTAAAAAAAAACAAAAAAACTGGCCCAGGTTATTTTCACCTTTGGCAAAAGAAAAATAGGCTGTTAAATACACCCAGCAATACCTCTGCTTCAAATTATAAAATGTAGAAAAATGGTATAATATCATACAGTAACAAAACACACACTGGTTAAAGCACTTCAGTCTGTTCCAAAATACTTCTGTCCAAAATGCGTTGGGGCAACAGGATGAACTTCTGTCGTTAGAATTGTGATATCTGGGAATTCCTGGATTATTGATTTGGCACCTTTAAAAAAAGAAAAGTTGGGGAAGTCAAACATTTCAGTAAACTACATTTGCAACTCTGCAACAAGGGCTCCCATCTAATTGCGGAGCTTGATTCTCTTCTCTCTCCTCCTCCTCCTCTGCCCCTTTAGAATTAACCCATCTAACATACAGACTTCATCAAATGTCTTATTAAATTACATGCTCACAATGGCAATTGCTGCTGGCATAAACTCCTTTCAATGATCCATTTTCCTCCCCAATGTTTTGTACATAGCTGCATTCTTTGGCCAAGTGTCATTAATTGCAATGATCCTGGATGCTGACATGAGTTGGTCAATGGCAAATCCCAGTAAAGTGGACTGGGGCCACATGTGTACTGAGAGGAAGGAATCTGTCCCCAGTCCCCTTGTAACAAAGTATTCCTTGGCAGAAAACTGACATGAAAAGCGTGGGGAGCAGGGATCTTATTGGCACATGTGGTGGAGCTGTACCATAAATTCTGGAAACAACCAATTACAGAAATCAGCACACATATAGGTAAACATGTTATTGTCTATTTTTGATAAAGATAATGTGTATCCTGTACCAGAGAAAGTCAACAGGATTAGCTCATAACATTCAGTTTGGCTGTTTGTCTGCCCTGTTGCTTTAACTTACCATGAGGTGTAGAGAATAGACTCAGCAGGATTATGACATTTGGCTGGACTCCATGTTCTATAAGAACCTTTACAGCCTCAATCACAGTGTTGCCAGTACCTGACAATATTTTTGGGGGGAGGGGGAGAGAGGAGGAGAAAGAGGAATTACTCTAGTATATTTTCAAGTTATGTTACTATCAAAATCAAACTATTTCACCATTAATCTGCATGGTCTATAGGTATGAATTCTGACATTCCAAACAAAAACAATAAGCTAAAACAATAAGCTCAGTGCATCTGAAGTTCCTTCTCCAATGGCTAGCATTGCTCAATGTACTCTTTCAAGGAGTAAATAGGGTCAGTTTCGAAATGGGTGGCAGCCATGGGCTTAAATCTCAATTCTAAACACTTAACTCTGAACTAAATTATCTTGTCAATTTCTAGCAAGTGCATTTGGCATTGGGGTTTGAGACTATTATGGCTTCTATATCTGATTTTAATGCATTTTTATAAAAGTTTGAAATTAAAAAATTGGTTAAACAGAATCAAACAGCTCAGATCTGAGAAATAAATATCTGATCCTATTTAATTAACATTTAGGAATGAGCAAAAGCTTCAATATCACCCCCTGCTGAACAGTTACAGTCTACTAGTTGCACCCAGCATCAACATCCTCATTCCTTGTTTGTACTTAAGTGACTCAAACAACAAGTTGCATCTTTAGATGCATATTTTCAACACGTGCAGCCTATAGACTAGGCATAGGCAAACTCGGCCCTCCAGATGTTTTGCGACTACAGTTCCCATCATCCCTGACCACTGGTCCTGTTAGCTAGGGATGATGGGAGTTGTAGTCCCAAAACATCTGGAGGGCCAAGTTCGCCTATGCCTGCTATAGACACTGCTGTGCCAGCTAATGTGCTGTAGTTCAACTAATGTAAATTCTGGAAAAGCTTGAAAAATCCAGTGTTGTATGGCCCCAAACCAAATCCTTAATTCTAACCAATGATAGATTTGCCTTCCAAGAGAGCTCTCTAGTCAAATGGTCAATATTTGTGATGTGGGGAATCCTTTAAGGCACTCACTTAGTATTGGGTACATGAGGAGAACTTTTCTCCTGAAAATATCTGGTGGAAACTTTGCATAGTACACTTTGGCTCTCTGAGTGTCTTCATCGCTCTGGATCAGGATCTTTCCTATTCGGATTGATCTACAACAGTCACGCAAACCCTGTTCCATAGCCTCTCCTTCATGGGGGGAAGAAAACAAGAAACAGTTACAAATCAAGCAATGGCCAGCCTGTTTCACTAATCTACCTGCCTTTTTGTTTTCGCAATGGCTTCTATATACAATTTTCATTCTGCAACATACAGTAGCTCCCATATAACAGAAGACAGCTGATGCCATTCAATAAAAGCTGGTGTGAGAGGCAAGCTCTATCAGCAAGGAAAGATGCAACTTACATTCATGTGAAAAATTATGAATACACACTTCCATCATCCATTTTCCATGAGGATACAAGCCAAAAGTGGCTGTGTCAAAACTTGCTCTTAGAAAGGACATATGGGATTAACCCTTTGCTTGGAAAGCAGTCATTTTTGTCACTGTTCCTCTTACAGCCCTCTATGTTGCTTTCCTAAGTATAATTTAGTAACTTATGTGGTAGTCATACATCTATTTCCAATATGGTGCCACTTTTGCTAGAAACAGCAACACTGCACTGATAATAAAAAGACTGAACACACACAAAATGTTAAATGACTTACCACTTCTCATTATGCTGACTCCACAATTTCCTTTTTCAAATTTCACCCCTTCATACTTGTACCCTGTTGAAAGGTCACACAGAATCTGGATTAAAGATGTTGTTTTCCTTTTACTCACACTGAATATCCTATTTCAAGATGGACAGTGGAAGTTGCATTAACCACTTACAATTCTAAGGCACATTTTACACACCTCGGTGATTTCAAAAAGATGTCTATCCCTCAAAGTTCCACAGAGAGTACAAGATAAAATAGAAGTTTATTTATTTATCCTACTCTTCATCCCAAAAAGGCTCACAGAGCATCTTAATCAACACACACACACACACACACACACACACACACGACAGTCCTTAAGTTTACAAACTTAAAAAAAACCACACACACAAACGACAAACGGATAATGTATTGGAAGGGAGATCAGCTTGGGTACAAATCCTTCTTTCTTTTTTGTATAATATATTTATTAATTTCCATGCAAAAACATTACATTAAAGAGAAAAAATAATAAAATAAAACATTTATAACAACTGTATACACAATCAATATTAAACCCACATTATAAGATTACTTGAATCCCCCAACTTCCCTCTACTCCTTCCCTTGGTTCCTTTGTATTATCTTCATTCATGAATGTCAGCAGGGTACAAATCCTTCTAATGATCAGGTGGGAGGGACAGGAGAAGTCAAAAGTAGCTGGTCTCTGAGATGAGCCAACAAGAATGGCCCTACATCCCTTCTACATCCAGCCAGACACTCATACACTGCATCTAAACCAAGACCTATTCTCAGACCCATGCAGAGTTTGTCTGAGGCCTGGGGAGGGAATCTTGTTAGAACAAAGTAATAAACTCAAACAGGCCACTAATGCCCCCTCCCCACTCAGTGGGCTTAGCCTGGGGCAGGTATATCCAGATGCCCCCCCTCCTCTGCAGGGGCCTTCCTAGTCTAGCAAACACATTTTAAAAATTGCTTTTCTCCCAGTCATGAAAAGGCCTGGCCTTTGCCAAATTATCTCAAAAAAATCATTTTACAAAGTGATCAAATTTTAAATATCCTCTTATTTGCAGAATGCCCACTCTATAGCTAACTTTATTGGTAGGTCAAACCACACTGCCCATTTTACTTTACACCATATCCTTATTCTCCACACCAGCTAGGCTGGACATACTTTCCCCATTACCTGTTGGAGTGGTTACTGTGCATTCTGTGTATGGCAATTGATTCAACCCCTCTTCAACCACAAGCCTGATCTGTAAGAGAGAAAGAATTCAAATGGGGGAGGGAGCAAGACAAAGTGGAAGAAAACCGAGAAAACATTGTCACAGCAAGGCTTCAGTTTCAACTAAATGCTAGCACACCATTAGTGCAAGGGCACAGCCCAAGTGCTCCCCTCAACATCTTCAACAGTCCAGAAATAAGCACAATGGACTTTGATCCACCATCTGCACCACCTACAGATCATTTTAACTATTGTTTTTTTTTTGGTATAATGTATGTACAACATTTACACACTGGAAAGCATGGAACAAAGAGCACAAGACTTCAAAGCTACACTCCTGTAAAGACTCCCAGTTTGAACTCCCCTTGCCTAGATATTTTCAAACTGTAATATCATCTTATTCTTTCTTTATCCGATGGTTAAGTAACCTTTTCCAGGTTGAGGGCCACATTACAATGGTCACAAGCTGTTGTGGGCCACATTCCAGTAGCAATCAGGGCAAGTCCCTCCACCCCCACAACTCTATGTAGGAAAAATGTCGCATGTGAAGTGGCCCTAGGTCAGGGGTCTGCAACCTTTAAGACAAAAAGAGCCACTTGGACCGAAGAAAAAAAAACTGGGAGCTGCAAAACCATTGCGACATTTAAAACAGTGGGGAGTGTCAGGGCACACAATGCGCCTCCTCCCCTCGCTAGTATCCGCCCCGGAGCCGCGGCAAAGGTGTAAAAGAGCCACATGCGGCTCCGGAGCCGCGGGTTGCAGACCCCTGCCCTAGGTGTAGGTATACAAGAAAATGTAACAAAATAAGGATTTTCCTTGGTTATATATATATTTAATGTATTATTCCATAGTTGAGGGGAAACAATTTGTAAGTGGAAGAACTTCATGTCTGTTATTGTGTAAGTGGGTATTTCCATGAACAAGCCAGCATTAAAGAATGGCAAGAGATTCTCTGTGTAGTAGATACTGCCCATTATTTAAAACGGGATCATGTTAAGTAAACATCCTGAAAATGTCATGTAGCCAGGACACCAGAGTGTTTCTTAACAGCTAAAAGCTAAATGGTTTTATCTGTTTGGTGCAAGAAACTCTGCAAAGAAACTAATAATGTCACTGTAGAAAGCAAGCCTGAGTTTTTGTTTCTAGATCACAATTTAGTTCAGCATATTAATAGCCTAATCCTACACATATTTATTGGAAGTCTGTTGGCATAAAAGTAGATATGCTTAGGATTAAACATAAATGCTGATATGAAAACTATTACTGACAGATCGTTGGTTTTCAAATAAGCAGCAGGTTCAAAGAAAATTGATCTCTTTTCCAGTAACAGTTATTCATTCCAGCAGAATACTCCTGTTAATACACCAATCTACACAACAGGCCTTCAACTAACTTACCAATCGATCAGCAGAAAATACGAAGTCCCCTCTGCTGGATGTCCTGGAGGAAAAGAACAGAATTTTTAGTATGATTATCCAACAAGCTACTATTGTTAAATATCCCAGAAAATATGCACACAATTAAAAATAAGTGCTGAAATGCATCTATCACTTTCCCTCATAATATAAACTAAAGGCTTGACCTTTAGATTAACTTATTTGAAGTGAAGTCATTAAGGTCTTTGAACATTAGTCATTAGAGGTGGATTCAAAGTGTTTTCTAAGAAGGTTTATAAGCAGAGATATTATGCATGAAGACAAAGAGTTATGCATGTGAATCTCATTTTACTCATTGTATTATTTAGCCTGACAATCTAAATCTAGAAAGTGAAGTAGCAGTCCATGGGGTCTCCCTATAATCCACTAAAAAACAGAATTAATTAAAAACACTAGGAAAAAGATTCTGCCATCTCATGCAGTGTTCGAAGCTCCCATTGCACATTTTGCGACAGGGAATTTCATTACTGTGAACAGCTTCTGAGCTCTGGGCGTAGTACTGTGCCTAAGATTTCATTCAGATTAAAACTGCAGAGTGGAAGGAAAGGAGGACCCTTTTCTGCCTCCCCACTTCCAGCTACTTTCTGAAGACTGGAGAAGAGACCCCCTTAAGAATATTAGGGGGTAGGCAGGGGAAGGATTAGACGATATGAAAAATTAACACAATATTTTAGCTGCAGTTCATTAATTTTCAATTTGTATTCTTGTTATTTTAAAAAGTGCCTAGACATTCTGTTGTTGTGCCCATAACCTAGGTTTAAGGTGCCATTTAGCTCCCAGTTTTCATATCTCAGTTTCTAACACTGATCTCATGACAACAGTCACAGACGTTACTTATACACAGTGCTTTTTTTCTAAAAAAAAATGTTTAGGGGTACTCTCATTTTCCTACTCATATTGAAATACTGCCCCTCAATGAGGCCAAACTTAAGATTCACAAAATGTTTAGGGGTATGCGTAGCCTGGCATTCCCCCCAGAAAAAAGCAATGCTTATACACCTCTCCCACATTTAGAAGCTTTCATTTTATCTTGTCATGTTGCTGTTGTATTCAATGGTGGGGATCATAGTTTAATGTTAGCATTAGACTACTCAAGTCAACTCCATGGTTTAGTTTGTTTTAAAACTAATAGTACTTAGTGTTAACCACTATCCCCAGTTAAAAAACAGCAAGCTATATTTAAGGGAAAGCAACATGAAAGCCTTTCAAACTTATCCCAGCTATTTGGGAGAAGGAGAGGGAAGGGTGGCAAAAGCCTGTAAGGATACTAGGTTCATTCGTGGTGCACTGAACCAAAGTTTAGCACCGAGGATTTCAACCTTTCTGGGTCCATAGCTCCTTTGATCAACTACATTCTTTCTGCAGCACCCCTTTGGGGCTCAGGAGCCCAGTTATGTCACCGCTTGCCTGCAGCGCTGACAGCCTGTCACCTTTTTCAAACACCCTCCCTTGTGGAGTATTCCCTCAGCCTCCTCTTCTCTCTTCTTGGGAGTCCTCTGGACAGCCACTGCTGCCCCTCTGCCCCAAAGAGAGGGGCCTCCTCGCACTGTCCCACTGGGGCCTGGGAATTCTCTATCCATTCCCAACAGCAAGGGCTGGTGAAATGGGTGGCTGGCTCCCTCCCCTGCTTGCTTGCTTGCTTGCTTGCTTGCTTGCTTGCTTGCTTGCTTGCTTACTCCAAGGCTGCCTCAGCTCCTACAACCAGCACCCAGTGACCAGCCCCAGAAGCACCATTTATCTGTGGAGCTTGTAGCCAGGGTTGCTGCAACAAATAGCTATGCAAGCCTTTGGGAGGCAGAGATGTGAGAGGGCATCATAGGATGAAGGGAAGGGAAGAGGGACAGAGGCCAGTGTTGCCCGCAGCACCCTAGACCATCATTCAAGGCACCCAGGATGCCATGGCACACTGGTTGAAAACCACTGGTTTAGCATGATATTCATACTCAGACCCCATCTGCACTATACATTTAAGGCAGAATCATACCACTTTAAACAGCCAAGGCTTCCCCTAAAGACTCCCTCAAAGTATAGTTTGTTGTGGGTGAACTAGCTGAACTCAACCAGCTACACTCTTTGTGGGTGCAGGCTATCACAAGTACATAACTCAATGCTTAAAAGCTTGCACTTCCTACCCATATTCTACCAGGCCAGAATCAAAGTTCTTCATTAAATTACAAGGCTCTTAACAACTTGGGTGCAGGTTATCTTAAGAACTGCCTGGCTTTTATATGCTTAATCACTGAGGTCTTCATGGAGTCACTGTTAGTGCTCCCCCACCTCACCAATGGCTCAAATGCACAACTTGTATCCACAAGGAGCCTTATGTTCAATATTGGGGCTGAACTCCATGAAACTCCTTCACAGCTGAGATAAGACAGATGACATCCATTTTGAACTTCTGGCATCTAATGAAGTCCTTATTTCAGCAGGCATTTTAAGCATTCTGTTGTTGTGGGTAATTTTAATTGATTTTTATTATAACTTTTTAATCATATTGTAAACCACTAAAATAAGCAATCACAAAAGGAAAATATTGCAACCTAAAATGGTCACATTCTGCATATTCTGATCAGAATTAAGTAATAATAATAATAATAATAATAATAATAATAATAATAATAATAAATTTTATTTATATCCCGCCTTCCCCAGCCAAAGCCGGGCTCAGGGCGGCTAACAACAGTCAAATAGTCAAACAGTCAAATTCTAAAAACATTCTAAAAACATTTCATTATAAAATTAATTAAAATCAAATTGTTGGCAACCGATTAGGCAAAATTCTGTGCAGGTTGCCAGAGGAGGGAGTCAGGCTGCGCCCTGACCAAAGGCCTGGTGGAACAACTCTGTCTTGCAGGCCCTGCGGAAAGATGTCAGGTCCCGCAGGGCCCTAGTCTCTTGTGACAGAGCATTCCACCAGATTGGAGCCACAGCCGAGAAGGCCCTGGCTCCAGTTGAGGCCAGCCTAACCTCTCTGAGGCCTGGGACCTTGAGGATGTTGTTATTTGCAGACCGTAGGTTTCTCTGTGGGGCATACCAGGAGAGGCGGTCCCGTAGGTACGAGAGTCCTAGGCCGTATAGGGCTTTAAGGGTTAAAACCAGCACCTTAAACCTGATCCTGTACTCCACCGGGAGCCAGTGCAGCTGGTACAGTACCGGAGTCTGGAGGTGACCGTCGCATGGATCACAGTGGCTAGATCAGGGCGAGAGAGATAAGGGGCCAACTGCTTAGCTTGGCGGAGATGAAAAAATGCCGCCTTTGTTATAGCTGTAATCTGCGCCTCCATAGAGAGGGAGGTATCGAAGATTACACCCAAACTCTTAACGGACGGTGCTGGCACTAATTGCACCCCCGCAAGAGATGGGAGTTGCCCCCTCGATCCCATATCGTCCCGCCCCAGCCAGAGGACCTCTGTCTTCGAAGGATTTAACTTCAACCGGTTCCCACGTAACCATCCAGCCACAGCTTCCAGACATCTGGTCAGTGTGTCTGGGGCCGAGTCAGGATGGCCATCCATCAACAGATAGAGTTGGGTGTCATCAGCATACTGATGGCAACCCAGCCCAAAACTCCGGACAAGCTGGGCGAGGGGGCGCATAAAGATGTTAAAAAGCATTGGGGAGAGAATCGCACCCTGAGGCACTCCACACACCAAGGAGTGACGCGATGACAATTCCCCCCCAAGCGCCACCCTCTGTCCCCGACCAGAGAGAAACGAGCGCAGCCATTGAAGGACTGTGCCCTGGATCCCCACGTCGGCAAGGCGGTGGTCCAGGAGTTCGTGATCGACCATGTCAAAGGCTGCTGACAGATCAAGAAGAATCAGCAGCCCCGACCCGCCTCGATCCAGCTGCCTGCGGAGATCATCTGTTAGGGCGACCAGAGCCGTCTCGGTCCCATGCCCAGCGCGGAAGCCAGACTGGAATGGATCCAGAGCAGATGTTTCATCCAGAAACCTACCGAGCTGTTCAGCAACCGCTCTCTCAATCACCTTACCCAGGAATGGAAGATTTGAGACCGGGCGGTAATTGGATAGATCTAAGGGATCTAATGATGTTTTCTTTAACAGCGGATGCACCACCGCCTCCTTCAGTTCCCCTGGGAATATCCCGGTGCCAAGGGACAAATTGATGATATCCCCCAGGGGGGCCCGCACCTCGTCTGGACACGCTCTAATTAGCCATGACGGGCACGGGTCAAGAGGACAGGTGGTGGGCTTTCCAGCTTGGAGGAATCTGTCCACATCAGCTGGAGATATCCGGTCAAAGTGGTCCAATACTGGACCCGAGGACAGTCGAGGGGCCTCCAGTTCCTTTATTGTATCCAAATTGGCAGGGAGGTCATGGCGGAGCAACAGGACCTTCTCCGCAAAAAAGCTCGCAAATGCCTCACAGCTGTGTGTCAGATTGTTATTTAAATTTGGCTGTCCTTCAAGGGACGTTAAAGACCGAATTATACTAAATAATTGCGCCGGGCGAGAGCTAGCGGATGCAATGGAGGCCGAGAAGTAAGACTTCTTAGCGGCCTTCACTGCCATCTCGTAGGTTTTCATAAAAACCCTATAAGATGTTCTTGAGGCTCCGTCACGGGCACCCCACCATACTCGCTCTAGCCGTCTGAGGTCCCGCTTCATTTTCCGAAGCTCCTCGGTAAACCAGGGAGCCCGGTTTCTGCGGGGTCGCAGAGGGCGCTTAGGTGCGATCTCATCGATGGCTGCCAGGAGCTGGGTATTCCAGCCCTCAACAAGCTCAATCAATGAGTCGCCAGGGGGAGCAAGGTCCCGCAAGGCTTGGCGGAATCTATCAGGGTCCATCAGCCTCTGCGGGCGAGCCCAAATCGGCTCGCCACCTAAGCAGGGTGGGGGTGGAAAGTCAATCCTGGCTTTCAGAGCGTAGTGATCAGACCATGGCACCTTCATCGAAGGAGACATGATCACATCTATACCGGCGCCAAAGATCAAATCCAGCGTGTGGCCTGCTTGATGTGTGGGGCCCGAAACAAACTGG